TACAAAGTAAGTTTAGTAACAGGTAAATTTTTACTATTAAACTTAATAAAATAACTCTGCAGTTTCAGTTTTACTAAAAATCTTAGTAATAATCGCCATTGCAGTTTTAGTTTACTAAGAAAACTTAGTAATAACTGCTATTGCAGTTTTAGTTTACTAAGAAAACTTAGTAATAATTGCCATCCCAGTTTCGTAATAATTTTATTAGTAAAAAAACGTTTCTGAAATTACGAAGGTGTTTTTTATTAGGTTTCTTAGTAAAAAACGTCTCTGAAGCTGCAGAAGCATTTTTTACTATATTTTCTTATAAAATAGTGTCTCCAAAGCTGCAGAGGTATTTTTTACTATGTTTTCTAAGTAAAATAATATCTCTGAAGCCACAAAGTCATTTTTTACTATATTTTCTTAGTAAAAAAGACATTTTCAAAGCGGGTATAAATAACAAAAGTAATACGAATAAAATATCTTTCTTTTTAATCAACACGTTTTTATTTTAAATTTGTCAAATTCTTCTAAATCGAACTTTTGGAGAAATATTATTTGGCACTTTAAAATATATACCGCAGAGGTGCTTTTTACTATAGTTTTCTTAGTAAGTGATACTCCTAAAGCTTTGAAGATGGCTTTATTATTGATTCAAATCAAATCAAATATTTAAATATTTGATTTGAATTTGATCGAATCAAATTAAACATTAATTTGGATTTGATCAAATAAATCATTCTTTGATTTGAATTTGATCAAATCAAATATTCAAATATCAAATCGAATTGCAGAACCCTAGTATTCATGTTTAATTCCATATATTTATTAATTATTTGAATATTTCGTATTATTTATTTGAAAGGAATTAATAGCAATAATCTCAAATAGAATAATTCACCTAAACTGGATTATTAATTAATTAAACATGTATATAAGGTATATAAGGAATAAGAATTCGCTATATTTTAAAAGTGACTTGATTTCATGTAATTGATACACTTGGATTCTCTGAAATTTTGCAGTAGTGTACCATTTGATTTAATAAAATCTACTAAATCAAATAAATAAAAATAAAATTATTATTTATCAAATAGAAATAAAGAAGTTTTAAAGTATACAAATATGATTAATTTTAGACTGAGATTAATGTATCAAAAAAAATTTGCAACATTAAAAATTATTAAAATTTTATATATATTGAATAAATTCTTTAAAACAATGCTATTTAAATTGATTACTACTTGTGTGATTGATTCAATCATTAATACCAAAGGAACAAAATTAATTATTTCGCAATAAAAGCCATTTATTTATTTATTTATTTTAATATTAATGCATGATTTTTATTATAATACAAATTTGCTTTATTTGCTTTTATTCAAATTATTATTATTCACTTTATTTTTTACTTAAATTATAAATTATTTTTTATTCAAATTATTTATTTTATTTAAATAAACCTTATTTGAATAATAATTCTAATTACTAAAATATTATTTTAGACTGTATGATAAAAATACTAGAAATATTATTAACTTATCAATATGCTAATACCTTAATTATTTTTTTAAAGAATATTGGTCAGATATCAAATTCTAATATTTACTGATATATTCCATTACCAAATTTGACATCCAGCCAGTAAAAGAAAACTATATAAGCAAAACAAGATGAGACCCTAAATTAGCATAAAAGAATTTTAAATTATATACAAATGTAACAGCTAGGTATCTTGATTGATATAGTGATACAGTTTTGGATTTTATGCAATTTTTTTATTGTATATTTTAAATATAATTAATTATACATCTTTAATAAAACAAACATAACTTAGCTATTTTTATATGAATGCCTCCATCCATCAAATATTCATGATAGTTATGATTATTATTCAATATAATTAACATAACAAACAATTGCATCACCCAGGTAATAAACAATACAAAGACTATGTATAAATAAAACTTTAAGAAATCTGATTTCGAAACGTATCTGAATGTTTGACCAAAAGCTATTTGACTGAAAACTATTTATCACCCATATGCATAATATAAATAATAATTTTATAGTAACCGTATTAATTGAAGCGTGATGTTTAATGCAGTGACAAATAGATTTGGTCAAATGGCTTTCAGTCAAACATACTGTAACTATTTCGAAACAATTATACATGTCTACCCAACCTCTAATAGGGAGGATTAAAAAATTTATTTTTCCTTTTATGTATAGTTTCTAAAAAACCACAAATAAATCTGATGATATTGATTATAGGTTTCAGATTTAATAAAAGTTTTCTATCACAAACATGAAGTTGGATCAGTGTATAAAATCTATGTGCATAATGTACATATATGCACATTAATTTTTTGTGTGCACATATTACACAACATAAAATGTGCACAAATTATTACTAAAAATAGATAAATTATGTATAAAAAAGGTAATTTTACATAAGAAAATATTATGATTTTCTTATTTTAGTAATAATTAATCAATTTGTGCACATAAATTTTAACTTAGATTTTATACACTGAGTTGAATGCTTTTAATATGCCTTATAACTATGGAATTTTCTCTAAAGGTAAAGGTTCCCTATGTTGGAAGGCTTTTTCAAGATTAGCAAAAACTTTTTCTTATCTTCCTTTCAGATCAGGCTTGACTGTTATAAAATGGGCATTGATAACTAAGAATGGCATTTGGGTGATGATTGTTTTGTGTTATACCCCTCTCTAGAATAAAGTTGGTATCTGCAACTCAGAAAATTGCAACCTGAGTTGTTGCTATTTTAGATTTTTCCTGAATCCAGAATTTTAAGTACTGGGTTGCTGTCTTGTTTGTGGCACATCTACTCACTAACAACCCTACCCCATTTAAATAACAAATTCACTTGGTCAAATAAAAAATCACCAAAAAAACAGAAAATTTATGAAAATGATTAATTTATACATACACATCAAACAAAACCCGAACCATTTTATTTTACAGTTTTCCTCCTAACTTCAGATCCCAAACTCAATTTCAAGACCACTAACCCTGCTCTGAATTGCAACCTCCTGTGCTTGAAATGAGCTGCAAATTCTCTTAATATTCCTTCAGAGTTGCAGCTTGTTGGTTATAAAGTCATCCTTGTCCTAGAAGTTGATTTTTTCAGGAAAATTTTCGGCTAACATTCCAGCAGCCTTCTAGGTATTGTGAAAAGTGTCATTGATGATTGATGCATCTCAGTAAACTTCAGGGCAAAGCGACCCCCAGAATTCAGTTACATCATCATATCATTGGGCATCGTAAGTCAGGTTAGCCTTGTGTACACGAAGAACGTGAGAATGACTGTAAAGTATTAAGATAGCGTGCATGTTTCAACACTTGCTAATTTTCGATAATCAAACGTTGCATATCGAAATGTTTCTTTTTCAATGGTGTGCTGTCTTGACTTGTAATTATATTAATATTAAAATTGATTATGATTACGAAAAGCAAAATACTAATTATTTACCATTTTGATGAGAATCTTATAATTACCCAGCAAGATCTGCTCATATTTTGATTTCAATAATATACATTTATATAAAATAAAAGACAGGTCAGTGTAAATTAAAAATAGTACCTCTGGTTAGTTATTAACACGTCTTCAGAACTATATCGTACCATATCATACCAAACAACATCACTCACGTTTTGTTATTAAATAAATTGTTTTTTTCAAAAAAAAATTCAATCAATTCGCGTCAACAAAAAAAAATAGGGTTCCATATATAAATAATAATATGTACGCGTTTGTCAATCGATCAATAAATTTTTTTTATTTTTTAATAATGTCAAAAAGTATCACAAGTAAGAAAAAAAGAAAATAATCATGGAGATGTGTTGGTTGGGTAAGTGTTTATCATAAGAATAGTGGTTATTGCCATTTGTCATCACTCTTGTTAGAAACGTGTATTTACTATTATGAAATAAATATGTTATGAAGAAAAGGAAAACCGAGATATCACTTCTATTAAGAGAAAAGCTATTGAGAAAGTTAAACCAAAAAAGAAACACAAAACTATTGAAAGAGAGGAAAAACTACCTGAAGAAGATTCCATGATTTCTATTACAACATCTGTCAACCGTGCTTTAAAAATTTCTTTACCAGAAATCATTCTAAATACCATACCAATTCTAGTCTACCTTGATTTACGTGATAAATCAAACTCAACTATTGAATCTACTGAAAAGATGAGATCATGAATTGGTTGGAGTTTGAACAAAAAGTTCGAACATGGCAATCAGAGACAGATAAAAAATACAAAAATCCCATATTTAGAACGCATAATATCACTTGTGAGAAAGATATATGATCAGTAATAGATGTAAATATCTTCAATACGTTAGCACCGTTAGATCAACCCGGTTCTTTTTTAAATGGCCGTGCTTTGAAAAATATTGTTGGTGAACCGGATTTTATCATAGTTGATGAACACATTAAAATGCTTATTCCTTAGGAATCTAAAACTAAATGGGTTTTGAAAGTGCTTTCAGACCAAAACATTGTTATACTCTATAATGAGGAAAAGGAATTTCGAGAGGGACCATATACTTATTCTAATGATACTTCAGTATATCATTCTATAAACCAAATATACAGGTACATGTATGCTAACAAATCAAGGTAAATTTTTTCAAACATTAACAGATTGTACATAATAATTTTATACTTTTTTACAAAAATAGATATGGCGTCTTGTCAACATACGACCAAACTTGGTTCCTTGAAAGAGGAGTAACTGGAGAAGACTATGGATAGTTGCATGTATCAGACGCTATTACAAACTCTTCAATAAATCTCATATTACTTAAATCTGTCACTTACATAATCTACCTTGCATCTAATGATCATTACACATCTTTCCTTGAAAAACCCATGATGGTTGCTGATGATCCCGATAAAGACAATGATGATTGTGATGATTCTTTTCTGAAACTAAAGCAACAGAGAAATTAAATACAAGGGTAGCTTACACTAAAATGGTCCTAATGTTGTAACCCGAAGCCAGAGCTTGGATCTTTGAACACTAACGTGAACTTACGATGAGAATTATTTTAGCTAAGTTATGCTAGAATAAGTAAAAGCATTTACTTTTTTGTTCGTAATATCATACTCTTCCTTCTCTTCATCATAATCTTCATCAATCTCTTGATCGTCTTCTTGTTCCTCTTAATTTTTCTATGATTTTGTTAACTGTGAATTTATTAATCTTTAGTAATTTGAATTCCTAAAAAGTAACATTAGCGATTTCTTGTACTAGGATAATGCTAATAAAAATAAAGTGCTAAATGATAAAAACATCAATGTGCATCTAATCTAAATCAAGCCAATGATAATAGATAAAGGTTTAAACATTAATATTTAAACTTTAAAAAATATATATGTATTAAAAGCAAGATAAATAAAAACTCATTACAACTACCGGCCGAACGCCAGGCATAGTCATAATGATTACCTTTACAAGCTAGAGTGATTACTAGCTGAATGCCAGGCATGAGCACATCTTGCTTATACTTCTACTACAACTACTGGCTGCCGTCAGGTACAGTGTAGTAAGGCTGCAAAGGGAAATCCCACTAGTTGTGATTGTTTCCACTTCACACTTCCATAAGTCAACCACCGGCTGGCCGCCAGGCATGGTAGTTATGGGTCTTCTAGCTAATCACTCTCTTTGGTCTAAAGGTGGATTTTTTTTTGGATTTAACCTTGCCCACATGAATACTAAAATTTTGATTGAATAAAGTCAAAACTTTTTTTGTTAAAGGTTACAAACAATCATACTAATTCTGTATAACATGTAGGTATTACTCAAGTTCTTAGTAAAACTTTGTGGAACACTAAATCTCAACTGGATCTTATTAGCAACATTTCATTTCCAGTTATTTAGGGAGTTCTAAACCCTTATGCAAGGTTACAATTTAGACTATATTTTAGGATGAGACTCTAGTTACTTTATCTAAGACCGATTGTTTTTTAATTGAACCCTATTGTAAAACTGGTATAATATTTTAATAATTCCAGGAAATCGTTAATTAATATTTATAAAAAAATACATACACATATATATTTGTATTTATATTTATATATTTACCTTTGAACAGTTTCCCGCTGTTCTGCAATCATTGTTGCTAATTGTTGAAGAATGTTACCAAGCTCAGCTATTGTTGATTAAATGGACTCAACCACTCTTTCAATATAATTATCCCTTAAAGATTTTTATAAAAAAAACTTTCTTGCAAATTCACTCTTATTACCAGTAAATCGATATTAGGTTGTGAAAAATATTGAGATATTTATGAGAATTGACTTAAAATAAACTTGGCAAATTGCTTTTTAGTGATTTTATTGGTTGAAATATTTTTTGAAATATCACATAAAAATTTATTTTGATTGATCATTTATTAGAAAAGAAAATACAATTTTTTTATTTGTAAAAAAAAATAAAATTATTGGTTTCTTTTTTAAAAAAATTCTTTAATTAATTAAAATAAAAGTATCTATTAAATAAATTTATATTTTATGATAATCATTAGTAAACAGATATTAATAATAGTCCATCTAAAGTTAAGGATTATAATAAAAATGATTTAAATATTGTTTAATTTAGGCTATAAAAACTAATATATATCAAAATTAATAAAATTAATATAATCAATAATTTAAATGTTTAGATAAAAAAGAAAGTGGAATGTTGATATATGAATAAGCTTTTTATTACAAATGTTTTGCAGAATAAAATAATTATTGTTTTGAATTATATAAAAAGGGTGTTGTCTTTAATATAAGCACCTATATAAAAAGATTAGAAAGAAATAGTAATATTAAAAATAGTTTATTAGATGATGAAATATTAGATAATGAAACAAAGAAGAGGAAAAAGAAAAAAAAAATATTGGTAGACTTTAAAAATACTTTAGAATTTATAAAATATATTTTAATATTCATATATTAATTAAACTTTTATCTAAGTTTTGCTATGGTGGAGATCTCCCAGATTTTTTTTTATCTAAATGTAAAGAAAAGAATGAATGACATATTAATAAAAAAAACTGCATATTATAAATTAGTTTTTGAAAAAATATTGCATCTTTTTTTATTACTTTAAATTAATTGATATCTAATATTACACAATATAAAAAAAAATCTACATTTGATTTTATCATCTCGTGATATAACAATGTCTATTATAATGTAAAATATTCATCAAATATAGACTTTATCTATAATTGATATGATTGATAAATCAATAACTTCAAACAAATAGATAACACTGAAGAATCATGTTAAAAAGCATAAAATAATTTGATTATATATGTTTGAAATCTTGGGTTTACATTAGTGTTTCGCACAGATCAGATCAGATCAGATTTGGATAAATCTGATTCAATCTGAATCTGAAAAATCCAAATCTGATTCGATCTGAATCTGACAAATCTGAATCTGAATCTGAATCTGTATCTGTATCCGTATGCAGATCTGATAGATCAAAAAATTTTTTTTAACAAAAATCTGCTTTCGCAATTCAGAACGGCGTTTTAATGTTAAAAAACAACAATTTTGTTATTTTTTTAACAAAAATCTGCCTCTGATATTCGGAACAATGTTTTTTGTTATTTTTTTAATGAAAATCCTGCATCTGACGTTCAGAATAGCGTTTTATTGTTAAAAATAACAATTTTGTTGTTTTTTTAACAAAAATCTGCCTCTGACATTCAGAATGATGTTTTAATGTTAAAAAAAATAACAATATTGTTTTTTTAACAAAAATCTACCTCTGACATTCAGATCGCATTTTTTAATAATAAATACCGCATCCGACTTTCAGGATGGCATTTTTATATAAAAATTGATAAAATTAATTTTGTATTAATAAATGTTGCATCTGACTTTGGGCAGCATTTTTATATAAAAAATTAATAAAAATTAATTTTTTATTAATAAATGACTTTTGGGCAGCATTTTATTATTAAAATTTAATTTTTTTAATAATAAATGTTGCGTTCAACATTCGGGGCAGCATTTTAATATAAAAAATTAATAAAAATTAATTTACTTTATTAATAAATGCTGCATCTGACTTTCAGGATGGAATTTTATTATTAAATATTAATTTATTTAATAATAAATACTGCATCGATTTTTAGCGCAGCATTTTATTATTAAAATTTAATTTTTTTAATAATAAATTCTGCAACCAACTTTTGTGATGGCATTTTGTTATAAAAATTAATTTTTTTTATTAATATATGCCACATCTGACTTTCAGGGCGGCATTTTATTATTAAACATTAATTTTTTTAATAATAAATGCTGCCTCTGACTTTCAGGACGGCATTTGTTATTAAAAATACATAAAAATTAATTTTTTATTAATAAATGTCATAAATGTCGCTTCTGATTTTCGGGTCGGCATTTTGTTATTAAAAATTAATAAAAATTATTTTTTTAATAATAAATGCTGTGTTCAACTTCAGAATGGTATTTTTTATTTCAATTTAACAAATCGGATTTGAATCCAAATCTGAATGTGACAGATTGAATCTGAATTCAAATCCAAATCCATCAGATTGAATCAAATCTAAATTTGAATCTGATTTGAATTTGACAGATCGAATTAAATCAAAATCTGAATCTGAATCTGATTCGAATCCTATAAATCCGATTTGATCTGATCTGTCAAATATGGATCAGATTCAGATTGAATCAGATTTTTTGTAGAATATTAGTTTACATAAATTTTTCTTGACAGAATCAGCATTTAATTGGTGTTTTAAAAATTTTGTTAACAAAGTAATAGAAAACAAAGAGGTAGAACTTAGTTTTGACCAAATTAAAGAACTGTTTCTAGTCAATTTAGGTTATTCAAAAGAATATTCCTACTAGTATTTGTACATTATGTAAAAATTATACTAACTGGTTATAAGTAAGTTTCTAACTTTTGATGATAGTATTAACACAACTATCCTGAATACCAATATCTATCTAAAACATGAAAAGGAAAAGCTATTTCAAAAGCTTGCTGTGAGTTTTTTGAAGAAACCATTAAAAAAGAAAAAATATTACATCAAAAGCAAAAGCAGAAAGAGATTATTATTAAGGTATTGTTTTATTTATTTTTTGGTAAATTGATGTGGTTTTTTTCTTTTCTTGAAAGGTAATGCATTCATATTATTAATATTTGATTATTAGGAATATGTGAGTGAAAATGCCAAATTCCAGGCATTTGAGAATAGCATGCAACTGCTGATAAGAAAGGAGACAACACAATCACCTCAGAAAATCACTTTTGAAGATGAGAATATGCTTTTGATAACACCAAATAAGAGGATGATGAATAAAGAGGTTAAACTGTAAGTTTTATTGCTAAGTATTTATATCAAGTTTGACATTACATTACTTTGAATGATTCTATTCCTTATTTTAAATATTGAATCAATTCCTATTATATGTGCATTTGGTGCTAATTGGAAAAAATTATTAGAAAATGATTTGGCAAACCAAATCTCTAAATATCAAAACTAACCACCTTCCATATAAACAAAAGAATTAGAAAGTTATTTAAAATATACATTAGATGTAAGTCTAAGCTAAGCTTATTATTAAATTATTATTTCCAATTTATATTATGTAATATCTATTTTATTCTTAATAAAGCAAATAGGAAAGCAATTTAAAATAGCGATACAGAATGAAATAGAGAAAAAAATAGCTAATAAGGTTAGGTTATATATTGAAAAGGTTTTAATATACTTGTAAGTATATTGAGCTATTTGATTATATTTAGAGAAATTACTGTAACATTTATAAAGTTTTAATTTAGTGGATTTTTTTCCAATACATATGGGATTAATTGGAAAGTGAAAATTTATTGTATGTCATATCTCGGCTTTGTTCAAATTTTATGAATTGGTATTTGGAACTTTGAATTTTGATTGGATTGAATCCCATTCACAAGCTGCAAAAATGACTAAATCGTCAACAGATTCTGAGATTGTAAAAGTAGATATAAAAGGTATATATGTATAAAAGCTTCTTTTTAATAAATATACTTTCTAAGAATGACTTGTCTGATTTTAAAGGATGTTTGGTATATAGTAGAGTATAATTTGAATCTTTTTCAATAAAAAAAAGAAATCAATATTCCTAATCTCTTCACTTATATTAATTAATAAACATGATTAGGAAGTAGCAGGCTCGCCAAAAAAACAATAATATGTCATACTGTTGATGACATCAAAAAGATATTACTTACTGATATTCTAAATTTAATAGCTATTTTAAGGAATCATATTGACATTGATGTGAATAAAGCAAAACAAATTAAGGTTTTCAGTATGCAGGTTATAGGTAGATTTTTTGTAACATGCTGAAGAAAACTCATTTTGTAGAAAAGCAATGAAATCAGATGTTGATATATCAATCTTTTTCTTTTTATCATTTTGTTTTTAGAAAATTGATTAACATTATATGCTTTTAATATATTGAAAGATAGTCAATTTCTAGCTTATAAATTGGCATTTGCAGATTTGCTATTTGATTTCAATTCACGTTTAAAATACAAGACAATATTATAGATGATGACTAAGTTTCATGTAAGCAAATAAGCAACATACTGTACAATCAGTATACATTTTTTAAGGTACTTACATAATCTCTTTACTATTTTCAGAATGAAATAGTTTAACAAATGGCTATTTTAGATAAAATTGATTGTTTGCTTATGCCATATAAAGGCAAAATAGTGTGTGATATTTTGAGAATTCTAATTAACTTACAAAATATATAATATGAATAAATATACTGTATATTTCAAATTTCATGAACTGAATTTTTTATATTATTTTAAATGCAAATTATGTAACTTTATCATATACAAAATTTTCCCTTTATCAAAATATATTTTTGGTAATTAATAATATAATAATGCATGTGATTTTCAAATAAATGACTACAGTAATCAAAGTAATAATAAATTTTATTCATAAAATTTATATATATGAAAGACAGTAATTCTAATGAATATGAAAATGCAATAAAATTTTTAAAATGGGTTATGTTATGGTTGTTTATCTAAAGTTCTAAAAGAAAAGTTTGTCGAATTGCGTGAGGCTTTTTAAGCTCTTTCTAAGTTTAAACAAGACATATTTTAATGGATCAACTTAAAATAATAGATGGTGGATCAATAAGCACTAGTAGATACCTTAAAAAAATCAGATCTAATAAAAGAACTATCTATTATTGAGATTACAATATATTCCTTTGTCAAGAAACTTATCTCAATATGTTAGAAATTGGCAAAACTTATTTTGAAAATATCAGAAACCATTTAATAAATAATGGTCTTCTGCCAAGAATTCATGGCAATATTAAAGAATGCCTCAATGGAAAACTAAAATAATGATTGATAAAAATATTGCAGAAGTAGTAAAGAATTTTCTGGAAAATTATGCAGAAGTCTATGAGTTACCAAGTCTAGGAAGAAGTATCAATAAGATAATCCAATCAGTTGTCTTTTTACCAGCTGAAATATTGAAATCCTTAAAATATGACATTTTCAGAAAGTTATAACACATCAATTAACACCAGAAATTCAAATTATGAGTTTTAGAACTGACTTATGTGATACTTGTCAGCATTTTAAAGATAGTTTATATGATAATACTCATCAGGAGAAAAAAGCTAAAGATTTGCTTAAAAGATTTAAAGAACATCTGTCTAAAGTCAAAGTAGAAAGAAATTATTATAATAAAAATACCAAATTAGCAGAAGAATAAAGAAAACTAGTTGATCAATATTATTCTAAAGGTAAAATATCATATTATAGTATTAATGTTACTATTCATTATAGTTATGATTGAGCCCAAAATGTTCATGTGTCACATTTAGATCAACAAGTAAGTAAAATTTATTATCCTAGTCTATGTAATATTCATTTATTTGGTATTCAAGATGAGGCAATAAGAGAACAAATTAATTATGTTCTTAATAAAAATGAAATCATAGGAAAAGAGTCTAATAGTAATTTTAGTATAATTTTGATAGAATTAAGAAAATGATAAAGGTGAAAAGCATTTAAAGATTATTTGTGATAATGTTAGGAGACAAAATAAAAATAATGTAACAATTTGATTTTATTTATATTTAGTAATTTGTGATTATCAGAACATATCAAATTCAAATGTAATAGCAATTTTAAGATGAATAGAAAACTCTATAGAAGAACAAGAGTAGACTATCTAGATCATATGATTGAGATGATAAAAAAGTCTAGTCCAGCTGGATTGAATAAAGCTCAGTATTATGAAAATGGAAAAGGTTTTCAATATTTAAATATTAAAGCTATTTTGGAAATTTATTTTAAGAAATTATCAAGCATTCAGAAATATTAACATTTTCTTTTTGAAGCATCTAATCTTGATATAATAAAAGTTCAAGAAGTTGTTAATAGACCATTGGCTGAATTCAATTTATTAAAAACTTAGAAAGCAAATATTTTTGAAGAAATTAGAGTTTTATTTATTTTAGTATTAACAACGTCTCCTTTGGATTACAAAAGGCAAGAATATCTTTATCATAATATTCATCCATTTATTAGAGATAAATTCAAAGATATTACTTATCCAAGACCAATCTATACTGAAAATGAATAAAATATTCAGAATAAAATCACTTCTATGACTTTATCACTTATTAATTTGTCTCTTGCTATCATTTAGTTAATAAGTTTAATCTTTTGACAAATATTGTTAGCTTTTCCACTTTTAAAGTAAAAAAGTACTAAAATAATTTATATACTTAATACACCCTTATATAAGGATATAAGTATATTAAAAGAATATATAAAAAAAAGAACAAACATGATAAATATTATAAACAAACAAAAATAAGAAAACAAAACACTAATGAATGAAATAGAAGTTTTGAAAAAATAATTAGCTGAAAAAGAAGAAGAGTTTAAACTAAGAATTTGAAATGCTATTGATAATATTAAGGAAATGAAAGATCAGAAATTGCTGGTACTTTAATAACTTTAGAACAAAATTTTTGATCCAAAAATGATTTAACAAATATTCAAAAAGAAAATGGAATTGAGAAAGTTATTTTTAGCAATAATTTCACTCTTGAAATGTATTTAAAGGTTATAGTGAATGAATCTGAAATAGTTCAAATTCTTTTGGTTTTATTTACAAAAAAATAAAGAACTTAAAGAAAAGGTTGCTGAATTAGAAAAAGGGAATGCTAAATTAAAAGAAGAGTTAGAAAAGAATAAACTCCTTATTGAAAAATAAAAAGCAAGAGCAGAAAAAGCTGAAATAGATAATGAAATTCATTTAGAGGCTTTAGAAACAGGAGGAAAAGAAAGATAAACTCAGAAAGAAATATCAGTAAAGGAAATAGTAGAGAAAAACTAAAAGTTAAAAATTTTTAGTAAAATAATTAAGAATAAAAATACAAGGATTGATAAATTAGAACAAGAATTAAAATAAGAAAATGAAAAAGTATAGATGTCTAATAAGATAATTTCAGAAAAAGAATCACAAAACAAAAATCTCACAGAAGAAAACAAAGGATTGCAAAATCAATTGCATTTAGCTGAAAAGAATTTATCTGCTTTACCTAAAAAGCAAAGCAAATTTAAACAATTAAGAACAAAATTAAAGACTGAATTCTATCAATTGGTGGAAAACAAAAAAATGCCAAATCCAAGAGTTAGTTGCTAGAATAGAGGTAAGTAGATAATTAATGAGTAAGGTTGCTTGTCTAAACTCATTTTGGATTTGGCTAAATGTTTAAACCTTTAATTTTACTAAATTTTTACTAAGTGTTTGATATAGTTTCACCATTTTTATAAGCTTTGATAGTTTTACCTTTTTCTGTATTTCGCAGATTATTTAATAAGATTTTAATATAATTTAACCAAGTTTTACCTTTACCATTAAGATGTCTGTTTAAACTTTTAATTTCACTCAGCAATTTTATTAATGAGAAAACTAACTTACATACTTTTAGATTTAGAAAGGTTAAATCAGAAAACATGTGATTTTTGTTCTAATTATTATGGAGAGGATAATAAATCTGCTAACCAAATAATAGCTTGTATTAAGGTAAATGGTAAAGTTGCAGATGATGTAGTGTGAAAATTGTAAGGAGAAATTTGATAGTGATAAATTGGAAAAGTGTAAGAGATGTGGTAGATTACGAACTAAAAATTATATTGATATTTATGATGATAAATATGTTTGTTTTTGTATTAGATATAAAGAAGACATGAAAGAAAAGGAATTTATTCTTTTGCCTAGTGAGAAAATAAGTCAGTCTGCTTTTTATGAAAGACAAATAAATGGATTACAAGAAGAATTAGCCACTGCTGAAGAAGTATTAGAAATTGAAAAAGAGGAAATATTCAAGTTTCAGGAAAAATCTGAAGAGTGAAGTAAAAAGCAAAAATAGGAATTATTAAATAAGGTAAAGGGTTTAAAAGAAAGAATTAAACAACTAGAAGAGAAAAGCAGGAAATTAAAAGATCAACAGAATAGTCAAATTGCTCAAATTGAAATTAAAGAGATTAAAAGATATTCTTAATTAAAAATAAGAAAGTAGTTTAAAGAATATTCTATATAAATTGAAATTCATTTCAACTATCAAAGAAAATGGTAATTATTTTCCTTTTAAAGATTTTTGCTTTTTATTAGGTAATAATGCATCATCATGATGCTTTCTTTTTCCAACATTGAATATTTTTCTTTTCTCTTGATAAATTTCATAAGTTATCTCTTCTTTTCTTAGATAAACTTCCAGTATCTGAGTATTATTTATTTTAAAAATATAGGATGCAATTTTTTCATCTTGTTTTTTCTTCAAAATATTTCTAATAGTACTATAATTCTTAGGTTCTATAGTAGATCTGATGTAAATGAGTTTCATATTAACTAATTTTATATAAAGTATCACTTAAGATAACAAATGGAATATTATAAAACTGTTAATAATTATAATTATATTACAAATGACTAGCTTTTGATTCCTGAAATTCTTGATAATACTAATGTTCACTTTGTTTGGTTTTATTGCAGTATGCCTTATATAGACCCTTTGAATACCTTCAAGTACTTTATATTCAAATGTTTAATTTTTCAAAGGATAAAAAAAAAAAATTAATTTTAATAAATAAATATTTAACATAAATAATAATGAATATTTTTGTTTGAAATAATTAATTGTTGAATAATTAAATTATAAAAATAAATAAAGTTATTTCACTTATATATAAATTTTAATTTTAAAAAGTCGTTAATGAAATAATACAAAAATAAAACTTAGAAAGAATAATAAAATGATGATAAAGATTTAATGAATAATTAAGAATAAAAAGAATAATGAGAAGACTTATTCAGAGAAAATAACAATCGTAATTAATAAATAGAAAGAATACAAAGAATGAATAATAACTTAAGATATAATTATAGAGTAGAATAGTTAATGCCTAATACTCAAATAGTATTCTGGATACTCATAGTGATAATAATGTATACATCATGCTAATAGTCTATTAACGCTAATGTTACTGAAATTATGCGAGGTTTGAAAAGCTTAAACTAAAAATAAGAATAATAGAAAGATAAATGTAATAATATAAAATTAAGAAAATAACAAATAGAAAGTTAAATAACAATAACATTGTAAAGAAATTATAAGACATATTATCGTTTAAAGTATAGAAAAGGATTCTTAGCAATTAAATATTAATTTGTAAAACAAATTCTCTTGATGATGAGTGGCAAAAATGATCAAGAAAATATAAGTTATGTTGAAGCTTTCGAACTCAAAATGCTATACATTTGTAAAATAAGGATTATAGTAACTACACTAGTTACGAAGCTTAAAATAAACATTTTTAATATGTTTTCTTAAATATTTCAGCATCTAGTGATCTGTTAGAAATACAATATATATCTTTTAATAAGCACATCTTGACAAACATGATGGTGCAGATTTCCTGAAATTCTGATTGGTAAATCTTGAGATAATAACCTTCAAAGTCAAAAATCAATTTTTAACACATTTTTTTGAACATAATGGTGCAGATTTTATGAAATTCTGATCAGTAAATCATTAGATAATAGCTTTTAAAACATTAATGTAATTTTATTATTTTATTATTTATATAATCAGCAAATATATTTATGGGGTTTTAATTTGACTCAAATTGAATCGAGTTAAAGTTAGGTATAACTTGAGTCAAGTTGAGTTAGAGTTTTAAAATTTTTTTATTCAACTTGACTTGACTCAAATTTTTTGAATTGAGTCAAGTTATCATTAAAACTTGACTTGACTTAATTCATTAAAGGCTCTAAAAAAGGAAAAAACTGCTGGTAAAAATCAAATTTACTTTTATATGTTAAATATGATTTTTAGGTTAAAATATATTCAAATTTAACATTAACTAATTTTTTATTTTTACGTCAGTTTTTTCCCTTTCTATTGCAAAAGTCTCATATAAAAAAAGCTATTATATCAGCTCAAAAGTCTATTGAAATACTAAAGGATAAATACCAGCATCCAAGAATATTATTTTTGCTAAAGATAGAAAAATTATCACTTTTATTGATTATATCTTTTTCTATACAAGATATAGTAATATAACTATAAAACTAGAATATAATTCAGTACTTATGAAAAAAAATTATAGGTGAAAAAGCATAGCAAATCTGAATATACAGTCGATCACCTTTATAATCACACCCCTCAGGACTATGAAATAGTGTGATTATATGAATGTGTACTTATACTAAGAGATTTATTATTATAATTACTTATATATAAAAAATATTATTGATATAATTATATATAAAATTTTGTATTAATTAATTTTATAATAAATCATGTAATATTTTAAAATTTTGTTAAAAATTTTGAAGAAAATAAGTATAAATTTAGTTATGAATTAATATAAATTAAATATAAAACTAAATTAATCAATATCGCGAAATGGTCAAAATCAATGTTATCATATCAAATAATTATTATATAAAAAATCTAAATAAAGAGTATGATCTCAATCAATATCACTTAGTTTCTCATGAAAAACTATTATTCAAATCCTCAAAATTAGACAAATCTAATGAGTTAATATATATCAAATTATGATTAGCAGATTATGAGATATTTGCAATTAAATGTTAAAATTAGGTTTCTTTAAGTAGAATTTATTAAATTATAATTTCAGCCAATAATTCAATCATAATTATTTTATGATTAGATGATCTGAAATTAATATTTATTAGCTCATTAGATTCGCCTAGTTTTGAGGATTCAAAAGCATAATAGACATTCAATTTTCTAGCGATATTATTGGTTGAAATTTGTGATAATTATTTTGAAATATCACATAAATGATTAATTTTATTGGTCTGAATTTGATCGTTATAATATTTACCAAAAAAAAATAGGCTAATTTTTTGGTTGTAATACTGTTTCAACCTTTATTTAAAATTATATTTTTCGGCTTTTTTTAATATTTTTTAATAAAATTTATATAAAATTTGTTTGAATTCTAAATATATATAAATTTAAAAAATTTACTCAATTAAATAAAGAAAAAGCTATAAAAACTAATACATATCAAAAATTATAGTTATCTTCAAATTAATGATCAATTATGTTTTTTACATTATTTATCAATTGTAGAAGCAAATAGAAGAAGTAAAAATAAAAAAAGAAAATCAAAAGAATTTAATGATATACTCCTGACCAATAAGTTTAGAACCAACCAATAAATAATAAAAAAATGGGTTTTTTTAATGGTTAACTTTTTATTAGACTATAAAAATTATATACATCATATATAATTATTTTACTAAAAGAATGATGAATTTTTATGGTTTGTTTTAATAAATTATTAGTGGATTTAATATGTAACATCTTTATAACCTTTTTTTAATAAAATAAGCTAAAATTATTAATGCAAAATAAAAAATAATTTTTTATAAGTATATTGCACAAATTTTTTTTATTAAACATCATACATATTATATTTAATATAATACAAAAAAAAATATTTCAAAATCTTAAAAAATTAAAACTTTTAATAATAGTAAAGTTTTTTTAATAAAAAATTGATATTTTTCATTAAAAAAATCAAATTATAAAGATAATTTATAATTCTTACCCATATAAA